GGATGAAATTATTTTTGAACATGATACTTTACAACAAACAATCATTGAACTAAAAGATAAACGAAATGATCATTATCGTTTAATAGAACAAGTTAATGAATGGGAAAGAGATTCAATTATGAAAATTCAAAGAACAGCAACAGATATACGAGAAGATATTGAAAAATTGATTGCTCTTCAAAATGGTAATATATGTATATAGAAAGTAAAATTAATCAAACTTTGTATGTTTATATATGGGGTTGCCCAGTCTGACCGGATACCCCATTTTGATACAGTCCTATTGTAAGGATAGAACATACTATTGTCCGGGTCATATGACACACAATCCCACATAACTCTAAATTCGCCTCAACACCACCATGTTTTATCCTTACAATAGCAGACAAAAGCTATCAGTTCACACGAAAAACTGGCAACTTTTGTCTGCTATTGTAAGGATAAAACATGGTGTTGTTCAGGCCAATCCAGGGTTATCTGGGATCCTCTCTCATATGATCCGGACAATAGGATGTTTTATCCTTACAATAGGACTGTATCAAAATGGGGTATCCGACCAGACTGGGCAACCTCATATGTATATATTTAGAGAAAATATCTTCAAAATTACGTCATCTTGCCGAACAATTACGAAAAGCTAGAGAAGATGATGATTTTGTTGAAACAGATCTTCGTTTATGGACAACGAAATTACAAGAATTGAAGATCAATATTACTGATGTTCATCCGACAGTTACTGTTCACGAAGATCCATTTATAACACTTGTCGCTCAACTAAACATTAAATCGATAAGTCAACGATCTGAAGAAGATGAAAAACTTGCGAGAATTTGCGGAAGTGTTCAACTTGATGATAATAATTGTGTAGCTATTCAACGAGATTCAACTATAATTTCATATGTTCGTGGCAAGAATGAATACTCATTTGGTAGACATCAAATAAGATTCCGTGTAGATAAAACTGAATTGCATTATAGTACTGTTTTTGGAATCATTGCAAAAATGGAAACATTGTCGAAATGGCCATCTTCATGTTATGGATGGTCAAATGATGATACTTATTATAGCAATGGAAACTATTATTCTAATAATAATAGTATGGGAAATGATTTAAGTGGTCAAATTTCTTTCACTATTCAACTATTAGTAGATTGTGATAATCGAAAGATTCAATATTTCAATGAAAAGACTAAAAACATGAGAGAACTAAATATTAATCTAACGAAATGTCCGTTTCCTTGGCAAATTTTTTTCTATCTGCATGAGGCTGGAGATCGTATTCAACTTTTATAAATTGAAAAATGTTTATATAATTTAATTTGTACTCTTTCAAAATTATATGCAATTTTGTTTCATCAATGTGACCATACAGAAGATTTTTTATAACATTATTTCCAATATTTGTCAATAATACTGATGCATCTAATACAAAAAAAAAATATTAAATATTCATGTAATTGAATTATTAATGAAACTCTTAATGGTTCTCTCTTGGCACTTCAATAAAACGCAAGAATAACGCACACTAAGCATGTTCGATTTCGTTAGCTGGTATTGTTACAGTATCAAATAGAGTATAATAGACAAGAGAAATTGCTCACCATAAAATTTAGAAAAAACTGTTTTTCATGATTAACACGTGAATCATCATCTTAACAACAACAACAAAAAAAGATAGTGCTAGTGCAAACTTTGACATATTTCTTCACCAGTCTTTTACTTAACCTCCTAGAATGTTATTGATATACAGTCTGTGACGAAAGGAATGGGGAGAGGAGAGTTGCTAAGGCGTTTGTTCTAGTCTATGATGAAGGAGAGATCTTGATAAAGATGTTTGTCTAAGGAGGAAACAGCATGAACTTCAGTTTTGAAGTTTGCTGTTTCCTCGTCATATCTGTCACGTTAGTAATATGTAGTTGCTAAAGACACCTGTCACAATATATCATTTTTGACAATCATAAAAGCTATAAAAGAAAATTCGTTTGTGTTACCATTCCTATGCCGGTATAGCATTAGTCACTAGGTAACTCATGAGTGTCCTAGGAAAAATGAAGTTCTCAGTATTTCAATGATTTCTCTTTTAATATTCGTTTGTTTAGACTTATTTTTTCCCAAAAAAATTCACCTTTTAATTCTCTACCAAACAGTGTCTTTTTATTAATATAAATAATATTCATTGTTTTTTTATAACAACCTTTTGACAGATTTTTATGACTACATATTTATAGATCTTCGACAAGAGTATTTTTTTTTTCATGTTAACTTTATCCATCCAATCGAATAAGCAAAATGATTATGCATTGAACAGCTGAATGAGTTTACATGTGAATTTTTTTATGGTCTATATTTCTTGTTGATGAAAAGAGGAAAAGTTGTCCTGACATTATTATTATGTTAATTGAGTGATATGAAGTTTCTATTGCCCTGATGAAATGTCAAATCTGACATTGATAGTTATTTTTTAACCAAGAGAATTAGATCAAGATCAATAAGTCTACAATCTTATTCAATTAGCATTAAAATATGGTAATAAGATCCTCAAAATAGATTAGACATTTCATCAGGACGATGGAAACTTCATATCACTCAATTAACACAGCAATGATGTCAGAACAATTTTCTCTCTTTTTATCAACAAGAAAATATAGGCCACAAAATAATCCCCACATTTAAACTCATTGGGCTGTTCAATGCATGATGATTTTGCTTATTCCATTTGGTAGAAAAAACTAGCATCAAAAGATACTCTTGTCGAAGATCTAAAACATAGTCATAAAAACTCGATAAAAGGTTGTTTTGAGAAAATACTTAATCACCGAATTTTTGTTTGAAGCTTATTTTGGAAAATAATGGATATTATTCATATTAATAAAACAAATACTGCTTTGTAGAGAATTAAAAGGGGAATATTTTGATAAAAAAAAATAAAGTCTAGACAAGCAAAAATTAAAATAGAAGTCCATTTTCTCTCGAACACCTATTATTTACTGTTTTCAACGACTTGCATTTAATATAGATTTAAAACGTATTGCTAAGACTAGAAAAAAAAACATTTTGGTTTCTATCATATATAATCAACAAAAAATAATTATAATACTTTTTATTGAAAAAGAAATTAAAAAAGTTTCATAATGTTTGAAATAAGTTGAAACAATATTACTCGTCTATTATTTAATTATTCAATGTAATAGTTAAAGTACTCTAGTTCTTTGGTCTCAAATTTACGTTTTCTGAAACCATACTTGGATGTTTATCAGAGGATACTATAGGCCATGTAATGATATAGTATTATTAACAGATCATCGAACTAAATTTGTACAAAAACCGAAAGAAAATATGTATGCAAAAAAAATATAATATAAACTTTTCAATTTTACCTATTTCACATAAATAACAACGAATTTCTACAGAAAAGTAATATCTCTCGCATATATCAAACACACTAATAGCTAAGTTCAAAAGTTCTCCTCCCAATATTTGTGTTTAATGAAAGTTATTGTCTATTTGTATATTAATATCAACATCATCATAGTCATCTTTTTTTTATTGTGTCGGTTTGTTATGAGAGAACATTCACAAGTGATTTAGTTCATTTGCTTCTATATTTTGTCAATATGTAGAAGATCATTAGAATAATGTAACCCAAAGCTTTACTGGTGATACTTAGATTTAGTGGAGAGAGAGAGAGACTTTTTAGTAGATTTCTTCTCTGCAGGAATTTCGTTTTCAGAAAAAATTTTATTTGAAAATTTCGATCTAAAACTTTGTACACATGAAGGTCTTTATTAGATTATTTCATATACAATGTATCATTAGTTTTGGATATTGAATTGCGAAGATATGAATTTCTCAACAGATCTACACTTTTTTTGAGTACTGTGTGTAACATTCTGCTAATGTGATATTCAAAATTGACAATATTCCTAAAAAATTTTTCGAAAACTGGATTTGTTTTTTTGTAGATAAAACCTATTAAAAAGTCGTTATCTCAAGCAAATCTAAGCGCAAGCAAAATATCTTCGGAGTTTATACAACGCTGATGACCTTCTACATATTGACAGAATATGGGAGCAAACAGATAAGATCACTTGAGAATGTTTTGTCATCAATAATTCTTTGAATTCTTACTATGATATATAAATTCCTTTGATAAAAGATCATCGTTAATAAAATGTCTCGACATCTATGGATAAGTATGTTTCTTTTCTAGTCATCTCAACTGATATTTATCATCCTCAACAATATCACAAGTAAACATTCAGTTTGTATTATAATAATCATTCGTTTTGTAATTACTTAAATAAGAATAATTAAATAAATCGCTATTGGCAAACCATAGATACTCTGTATGTATAAGTAAAATATTCAGGTAAAAGAAAAAAACAAGAAATAAGTGACCTTGATATTAAAAAAAAAATCAAGATAAGACAAATATAACTACTATTTAGTAAAAATTACCACCTTTTGAAGTATGTTAAATTGTACCGAATATCGATCTCTATATGGTCATAGTCATAATACATAATCTGTATCATCAAAGCTAGAAAAAAATAAAAATTTCAGTCTGAATTCAAAATCAATGAAGTGTAATTATTGAATTATTAGTGAGAAATATTCATAATCGAATTATATCACTTCTATAATAGTAAAAGAAAAAATTTTTTAGTAAATTTTTGACTGATTATAGTCTTTTTTGTTATTAATTCAAAATCACTTATATTTATAATAGATTTAAATAAATTAATAAAAACTAATATATAATCTCATGTTGAATAGTTGATAAATTAGTTTCATAAAAATTCAGACATCGTTACACAAATTTTTACGACTGGATTGAATTTACTGCATAAAATCATGATGAATTTGCAAAGCAACAAAAAAAAACCGAACAATTTAATAAAATAAATCTTTTCGTTGTCTTTCACTTCCCATATACAAGTAATTCAAAAAAAAACTCATTAGCAATTGGTGTGTAATAAATCGAATGATGTATTATGTTTTATTACTATCCGATTACTTTAAAAAATCTCCATGTCAAACATGAAACTCCATGAACTGTAAGAAAATATGGGATGGACTATCGTTCTATCCAAGCATACTTATCTTTATCGTTAGATGCGCTTTTCTTATTCATACTTTCCGTCACTCAACCATGACAGGATGATGTATGAGTCGTCTCTTAATTACTTAATGTTTATCTCTCTTTCATCTCTTAATTACTGAATGTTTATCTTTCTTTTTCGTTCTTTATATAAACTACGGAGTAGAATTGCCTTTACAATTATATTTACGTGCGAATAATATTCGATAATCGTCATTTCTTTGTTTTTGCACGTGAGTTTAACGATAATGTCGTTTCATAAACAGTAGATTTTGTTTTTCTCATCACAATATGTCATTAGTTGTAATAATTATTAACTATTGTTCGTATTATGTTGGATGATTGTCGAAATCATTAATACAAAATGGGAATTTGATATTATAAAATTTGATTTATAGTAATGCAGAAATATTTTAGTCGTATAAATATTATAGTAAGGTATTGTATTCAGGTTGAGAAAGGTTTAAGTTATTGACAATACTTTAAAATTTATCAATTTACCATTCAGTTTCGATTTTCACTGTTAAAAATATTTTAATTAATTTAAACAAGAAATATTTTTCTATTAATCAAAGTCAATAATATGATCTGTTAGATCTACGCCATAAATCATTATAATGGTATGAATAATTGAAACATTTTATGACAGATTCTATTGTAAAGCGTATATATATGTATATATATATTTTCTCTGTACAATCAAATGTTATTTAATGTTTCATACATTGTATAAACATTCAATTGATATTAGTTTAAAATCTGAGTTGTAAATTCAGCTAGAAGAAAAATTTCGTTTTTAAAAATCTTTTGTTGAATTTTCTTGATAGATGCTAATGAGTGTTAAAAGTATTGTTTGGGACTGCAAAATTGTACACCTGATGAATTCTACTATTGAGCTCTTTTGTCATCATTTTATATTTCTGCTTTTATGAAAAAAAAAATTTGATGAATAAGAAATTCTATATCTTTTCTTCTTAGATTCAAACAAAATGTTTAATATAATTCAACGACAAATAAAAATATTTCTTCTAATTACATGTTACTGTTTCAATTTCATAAGTGAGTCAATAAATTTCTTCAAAACTGAAAACATGATGAATATTAGTCGGAGGTCCTGATCAACGTCGTTTGTTAAAATATCTATTAATTGATAATCAATACAATTCAATTGAACGACCTGTTCAAAATGACTCTGACACATTACCTGTCACTATTAATTTAGCTTTACAACACATCATTGATTTTGTAAGTGAGATTAAATACATATGTTTCATGTTATTTCAATCTTGATATATAAAATAGGATGGAAAGAACGAAGCCATTGTTATTAGTGGTTGGATGACTCTCGTATGTGTATTTACCTATAATATCTGATTTTATTGTTCATATATATCTGCATAGATGTGGAATGATTATAGTTTAAAATGGAGACCTGAAGAATTTAGTAATATTCAAACACTACGAATACCTAGTACACAAATTTGGACACCAGATATTCTCTTATACAACAGGTTATTATTTTTCAAATAACATCTGTATGTTAAAAAAAGATTTTTAATTTTTTTTTTTAAAGTGCCGATGACAAGTTTGATACTACAATGAAAGTTAATGCCGTTGTACAATATAATGGTGATATACTATATGTTCCACCAGTATTATTCAAATCAATTTGTCCATTTAATATTGCTGCATTTCCATTTGTAAGTATAAAAAGAAATATATGTATATATTTCAGTTATATCGTACTTTTATCTTGAATGTTTGTCTTTTTTTGGATACACAATATTGTACATTAAAATTTGGACCATGGACATATGACGATATTGGTAAGCAATGGAATTGTTTTTTTTTTTCCTAGGATGAAATACCAAATGTTTCTGAATGTTGTGTGCATTTTTATTACTTAGGAATCAATCTGACGGCAGAAAGTAGCAAAGGTCAATTAGATGCATATGTCAAAAGTGCCGAATGGGATCTAGAAGGTAGTTGATATAGGTTATGAGCGTTTTATCCTATTCATTTCATTTTAGATTTCTCAGCAACAAATAATGGTACCAAATACGACTGTTGTCCAAATGTGTATCCATACGTACTATACACTATTCGAATGCGTCGACGTTCTCTTTATTACTTTACAAATATCGTTGGTAATAAAATATAAATTACAACATTTTTTATTATCTTTTCATTAATATTATTGTTTTTTTTTTTTTCATTTCATAGTACCTTGTTTTCTTATCAGTTGTATGACACTACTTGGATTTTTGTTATCACCACAGAGTGGTGAAAAATTAACCTTGCGTAAGTTAGAATTTGTTGATTAAAAAAAAAATATATTCTTATTCATTCTATATCTTTAGAAATTACAACTCTTCTAACTATCGTTATGTTCAGTTTACTTCTATCAGAAATTATGCCACCAAGTTCAACTGCTATACCGGTTATTACCGTTTATTTCATATGTGTTATGATCATGTCAGCACTTTCAGTTGTTGCATCAGTATTAGTATTATCACTTCATTTTCGAAACTCTAAAAGTCATAAAATGCCTTTATGGGTAAATCATATTTGAAAATAAGTAAATTACATGATTTCAGAAATTATTTCAGGTTCGTAAGTATATTTGTAATTATTTGGCGTGGTTATTACATATGAAGCGTCCTAATCATGATTTGAGTTGGTGCGGAATTCGTCGTCGATGGTCTTCTTCAAAACAAGCATCGAATAGTATAAATAGATCAATCGATAATCATCATTCTAAGTTTCCTTCTGAATCATTATTGAATAATACATTAGAGTTGTCATCAACCAATGTTATAAATATCGACAAGGAACCTTTAGAATTCTTAGAAAACCCCAAAAAACAACACTCAAATACGCTACTAGAATTTGCTGTACCTCCAGCAACGAAAAATCACGGTTCTCTTCATCATCAGAGTGCATTGAAAGAATTGTATACATGTGATACGGAAATCAGTCGTTCTGAACTATGCACTATTATTTCTCAACTTGCTATTCTTACTAATTATTCTCGAAAACAAGAGAGAGACGATGATGACTCTCAAGACTGGCAATTTGTGGCAATGGTTATCGATCGTCTTTGTCTCATTGTTTTTACTGTATTTATGCTTCTTTTTACTGCGCTTACTTTTCTCAACGTTTAACTATTTTTTAACTTTAATTTATTTCTTTTTTATTTGATATTGAAACATTTTTTATCATTACTTTTTCTTTTGTCTCAAATATATATGTCTTAATAAATTGTATAAAGAAAATACTGGCATTGTATACAAACTATTCGATGAATGAAATTGAACTGTACTACATACAAAATGAATTAATGATGACTCTATTGTAAAACAAATGAATTTGTCTCTTCCATCTATCCAATTGTTTACTATCATAAATAGTTAATACGATTATAATACTTCCGATTTCTACATTTGGAGATCTGATTTATTGAATGTGACATATTCTTTTTCGAATCAAGTTCTTGCTTGGTGTTCATCAAAGTACTATAATGATTCAGAATTCATTTTAACTTCTGTACATTTAACTATCTTTCGGCTATAGTTGGAGCAACAAAATTCATCGAAACACAGCTGATATGATGGACTCGACGTCATTGTTTTGCTTTAAGTGACACTTGCCATGTTGTAAATATTGAAATAGTTTCAGCGGTAAACTGTGTTTAACTGAAAATTTCTATGGAAACTACGATTAACTGATCATAATGACTGGAAGAGAGTGTAGAAGAGAAACAGAAAAGTCTTGCGTTAGATGTAACGAGTATCATTCTCTTATTTCTCATTGATGAAAACTATTTGATTAGCCTAGTTCAGCATATAAATTAAAGTTTTACTGACTCAATAACGAAACGACCACAAAGCCTAAAATGAAAATAGATATCACTATAAAACTGATTCGGTAGTTGTGACCAGTGAAAAAGCTGTAAAATGGGTTAAAGTTAGGAGACATTTTTACTTTGCATTGATATTTGAGGCAGATTCATCATATCGACATTATCTAATACACGGCAAATTCTCAAGATTCAAATTCTTTTCTGAAAAAACTATAATTCTTCGAAGCTTGATACCAAGCAGAAGTGACGAGTTTTCTCGTAAAAAATTGCCGATAAACCATGTTTAATTGGCCAATACCGACGGTTTTCATCACATGGGTTAAATTAGTCGATTGACGGCTATAGAGTTAAATCAAGAATTTCTCTGCATACCAATACAATACAGTTTAATCTTTTTTTTATCATTCAAATTAATATTTGAGTTATTAGAGAATTGAATAAATGTGTTGTTGAAAGTAATGAGTGAAAGACTTTTTATCACAATAGAGAATAATAATAATAATAAAGAAACTGATTACAAACTAATATATTTTTCGATTCTAAATATCTTCGTAAAAACTAAACACTAAACTAAATTAAGAGCAAATATATTAAAAGAAATGTTTAATATAATAGGAACTAAATAAAAATTAGAAATTAACATTAATGAATCATTAAAAACATTATTGGATAATTAATCAAATTTTCACATGAATAAAATCTTCTATTTAAAAATATGTCTATGTAATAGAATACTACTATTCTTGAGTATCAACATTTTACTTATAAAAAACATCCCAGACAGATTTGATCGAGACATGTGATGGCGTATACGAATAATTAGGAAAATCATAACCAAATGCTTGAAGACCAACATGTTGAAGAGCTTGCGGTGTCGTTAATGGTTCAGGTGCTGGAAGAACAAGTACAGAAACACGATGACCATATTTAACTACTTCAGTTGCAATTGGTTCAGCAGAATCTTCTTCGACAAGTGTAATCAAATCGGGTACACTGGCTACAATTTCTCCATTATCAAAACGAGCTATAAGATTTTCATTTTGAAAATCAATAATAAGTGTTCGACCTGTCGTTTCAATAAAAACATGTCCTCGAGCAAAGCCACCAGTTGTATGTCGTTCAACATTAATTACTTTACCATCGGATATAAGTACACGACCATGTCCAGCACGAGCTACAGCTTGAATAGCATTTATACGATGATTGAACTTCGCTTCACCTATGTTAAAATATTCATATTTCAACAAAAATAATAAATAAATAACACTCACCGAGAAACCATGCTCGAGAAAGACTATGATGCAATATATTTTTTTGTAATTGTTCACCAGTTATCGGAGGCAATGCGACACCAACACAAAGACCTCGTTTTGTACATTCTTCTCTGAATACATCTTCCAATTCTTGCGGAGTAGAAACTATACCATCTGTGCAAATAATTGTTTCACCTCGTACGTCACATAAACAAGAAGGTGTTACAGGTAAACCATGAATAAAAGGCAAGAACTGAGTTAGACAAGGAAAGGCCCGTCCCATAGAGTCACAATCAATACAAAATATTTGTTTTTTTGCTGCCACAAGTAATCCCATGAGACCATTAGCACCACCGATTTCTCCACTATGAATACCAACAATTTTTTTTGATAGATACTTTTCAATAACATTGACAGCTTCTAAACATTCATGACCATTTGGTAACAATTCGTGAGAAACAGTAGGTGCACCCATAAAACCAATACCCACTATTAAGTCTGATGAAGAGTAAAAATACGAAGGAGGCACTACAAGCATTTTGTATTTGCCTTCACGAAGTACTTCAAGACACCATAATTTACAATGATATGATTCGCCACCACCACCACAACCTAAAATAGAATCTGTGTTGATTTTCAAAAGAAAAAAGCAAAATCGACATGAACAGATTTACCAAGAATGGCTGTTCCATAGGCAATATATTCAATGTCAATGGCATCAATACACCAAACTCCATTCTCATCAAATATAGGCTGTTTTTTTGTCAAGTCAATATGAATTGGTGGTTTTATAGTAGCTGGTGGTTCCTTTTTTATTTTCGTATTGAACGTTTGAATTCGTTGTTCTTGCTCGTTTCGTTTGAATTTATCCAAATCGAGTTGCCCAATTGCAGTTAATTGAACTCGATGTGTATATTCACTAGGATGATACGCTAATGGTATTTGTTCTAAGTCAGTCAAATGAATAGTATTTGAACAAGCTCCATTTTGTTCACATTTTTCATGTACTTTAAGAATTAATTGATCAAGTACATCTTTGCGTTGTTTACCATCATCTATAGACGATGGAGGTAGATGGATAATTGCATCGATGCTTGCACTGACAGAACAAAGAGCAGCACCCACAGCATTACAAACAGCATAATGATCTGTTCGTACCATCTAAACAAACAAGAAGTAACTAGTCAAATAAAATAATCATAACAAACTATTACTTGTGTTACGCCTGGAAACGATTGATTGATATCAACGAGAATTGATCCTCCACCACATAAAATAACAGGTACTGGTTCTAGATTTGTTTTCATACGCTCGATACACCTTATCATTGACTGTTTGACATAATCAAGTGTTTGTTCAACAATAAAGGGAGAGAGTTTGACAGAACAATGACCAATCTAGATTTGAAAATAGACCAAATAATACTTTCTAGACTGAAATTTACTTCTGTAGCTAATCCGGCAGCTAAAGCAATATCGGTTCCAGTGATCGTTTGACCACCAAAAGATAACGCTTCTTGATCAAGTCGATAAGCTACACTATCTGGTCCAACTTGTACAGATTCTTCTTTTTCATTGACATGAATCACAGTGCCGCCACCTAACGGTAGAGAAATAGTGTCAGGCACAGCAATATTTACCCGAATATCATCAATCAGTTGTACATTCTTCAACGAATAATTCATGAAAAATGAAAAATACAACGGATCTACTTACGACATGTGTTTGTCTTGGTCTTCCATTTACAATAACTCCTATATCCATTGATGTTCCTCCAACATCGATAACAATGCCATTCTTAATGCCACTGAGATGCGCAGCACCAATCATAGAATTGGTAGAACCACTGGTAAAAGTGAAGACAGGCCAACGAATTGAATCTTCTGATGATAATAGAGTACCGGTATTTCTTGTAAGAAAACAAGGTACATCTGGAGGAAAAGATGCTTGCAATGCTTCAATAGTTTGCTTAGCTAATGGACGAAGACAAGCATTGAGTATTGAGGCATTCTCACGTTCGAGCAAACCAAGACCTGCGATTTCATGAGTAAGAGTAATATACGCTGTGGTTGATTCTTCACGAATAATTTCTCCTACACGTTCTTCTTGATCCATTCGACAGGGTGAGAAAATACCACAAACACAAAATGTACAAATACCAAGAGCAAGAGCTCGACGAATTATCAAACGAATTTCTTCTTCGTCCAACGGACTAATTTCTGATCCATCGAAAAAGTAACCACCAGACACCAATGCTGTTAAGCCATCAACCTAAATTATCAACAACAAAAAAATATTATCAAAATAGAAAACAATGAAAACTTGAATATTCTCTCATATACTGTTTCTTTCAAATCCTGTGGCCAATTAGTCATAGGAGGAATAGCATGTGTTGTTGGTCCGCATAAACGTATTGTGCATACTTTCGCCAATCCTCGTCGTTGAAGTAATGCATTGATAAAATGTGTCGTTCCTACCATGATAGCAGCTACTTCAATATCATTGATAATTTGATGTAATGCATAAAGCATGCCCGAAAAGACGTCCGAACTTGTTACTGTTTTAGCTGTAGCCACCACTTGCGGTGCTATTTTCAACAAATTATCGACTAATAATCACAAAATTTAAAGACTTACATTGATTGGATTCAATCCGTAACAAGACCGCATCTGTAAAATTTTATACAAAGAACATCTACATTAATAAGCGACACTTACCTGTATTTGTGCCACCAACATCAACACCAACAACATACATTGTAATTTTTTTAACTTTCTTTCTTTGCTTTCACACTTAAATACGACAGTTTGTGTTCTATTTCATAGCACATGCACACGCGATGTCAATGCTCACATCTTTTTTTATAGCAAAGAAAAAAAAAGGAGAGGCCGTTTAAAAAGGATGACTCATGCGCTTATGTGTTCTATCTAAAGAACAAAAAAATAGGATAGAAGAGAAAAGTTTCGCTTATTATTTGTTATTATATATTGATGTAAAAGAAAATCATTAAAAAACTCGATTTGTATGTCATTTATTGATATAATGAGACCTTGTTTGATAGTTGATGTCAAATGTCAATCTTCTTATAAAACTATAAATAAAGTTCTCATTATTAAATATAGCGTGTGAATAAAATGTTCTATTGTCCAGATGCAATAATATACAGCTTATCTCAACTTTATCAATAACATTGGGACAAGAAGTCGCTAATCAATCAGTGTTTTGTGCATCACATTTTTTTTCTTTGGACCTCGATAAGACAAAAAAAGAAGTACAAAGTGTCTCCATTCTATATATTGAATAGTGATGCTGTAGATAAACTATGATTGTGAAGTATTAAACCTTTTCTTTCTTCCTTTTTTTAGATGCATATGTATTGATTGTGACGAAAAAAAAAAACTCTAGTACATTCATAAGAATCTTACAATGATAATTGACACATGTCTATCCGGGTTACTACTATGGTTCACAGTACTAATCATTGACGGACCTAATATTTCGTTTTGTATGGCATCACGTACATCTGCTGAATTATATGTTGTTCCATTTCCATCTTTATTCGGTGACGACGGAGATGGTTCACTTACATATCCATATTCATCACTACAGCAAGCTCTTGACTATATCGAAAATAAGTATTATCATGGTATTAATTTACCACGACGAACAACAATCTATTTATATCCAACTCATCATTTCGTGAATACTCTTCACTTAAACAGAGCTCATAGTCGTATACGATTAACAACAATGAATGCTGATATCACTCGTTTTTACGAAGAATTTGCTGCTCGTGAACATACACATCGACGATTGTCACGGGCAAGTATTAGTGGTGGATTACCAATAACTGATTGGATTGCAGTTGGTAATAATATATATAAAGCTATCGTATCATCGACAATGTTTGTTAATCAATTATTCGTTAACAATCGACGCATTGTTCGTACACGTATACCAATGAATCAATCAGATTATCTTCAATATGACGCGCCATTAAAAGATCCGAATCAAGCACGTTATGGTTTTCAGTATGTTCAAGGACAATTTGATTCCATCCCATTAGATGATGCTATGATAGTCGTGTATCATAGTTGGACTACATCACATCATTATATTGATAAACTTATTATGTCGAATAGAACTATTTTATTTACTAATCCATCTGCGAGTCCAATTGGAACATATGTTACTCAAGGAAAACGACGATTTCATATTGAAAATATCTGTCAAGCACTTATTTCAAACTCGTTTTGTTTTGTCAATGCAACAAAAACTGTCTATCTCATGACAGATGGTTCTTACGATCCGACAACAGCACAAATCATTACATCAATAAATGAATTTGTTGTGTTACTTGCCGGTACTGATATTACTAATCCGATCGAAAATATTATTATTGACAATGTTGCAATACAACATAGTGCATGGAATATTGGTCGAACCCAACAAGCAGATAGTCAAGCAGCCGCATTTCTCAATTCTGCTCCACTCTATATTGCTAATGCAACATCCATCGTTATTTCGAATGTTGAAATTAGTCATACTGGTTCATATGGAGTATGGATTAAAGAAGGAACAACTAATGTTAATATTTTCAACTCATTAGTTACTGATACTGGCGCCGGTGGTATTCGAATTGGTCAAATGATATCCCCAGTACCGACACCAACTACTTTTATCAAAATCATATCCAATGAAGTTAGTTATGGTGGAAATATATTTCCAAGTGGTGTAGCCGTCATTAGTCATCGTGCCATTGATGTTATCATTGCTGATAATAGTATTCATCATCATCGCTACACAGGTATATCTATAGGATGGGAATGGGGTTATCAATCGTCTTATACAAGTAATATATTAATTCAAGATAATTATATCTATAATATCGGACAACATATTCTATGTGATCAAGGTGGTATTTATACACTTGGTATTCAACCAGGAACAATTATTACTGGTAATGTTATTAAGAACGTATTTAGCTATGCTATTTACATGTGGGGTATTTATCTCGATGAAGGTACATCACAGATCTTAGTCTCTAATAATGTTGTATACAATACTGGTTGGGCTTCATTTTTTCAACACTATGGTGCTAATAATACTATCATTAATAATGTATTTGCACGTGCATCACTTAATCCACCATCACAACCTGATGATGATAATCCAGATGGTGATATTCATATTGGACTTGCTGAAACTCATACTTCATTGACGTTTACACGTAACATTATCTACGATACATTTCAAGGAGCAAATCATTCTGCTTACAAATCCGAACTCAAGGTAATTGCACCATTTAGTAATAATGTTTATTATAATCCATATGGTACTACATTACTATTTGGACCACAACAAACATCATTTATTGAATGGCAAAAAACAGGACAAGATAACGATAGTATGATAGCAGATCCATTGTTTATTGGTAATGTCAATCAATGTGATTTTTTTACCATTCAATCTGATAGTCCTGCAGCAAAACTTGGCTTTGCCAATATAACTAAACTTTCAAAATGGACTCCCGGATGTGATACAAATGATGACAATGATAATAATCAATTTTATCATTGGTAATCGAAATTTTTTAATTAAATATTTGTGTGTTCCTCATTTATTCTCCAATATTTCGGGTGATAGGTTGAATAATAGTGAGTATATTGTTACTATTATGTTCAGTTTGCAATCATATTTTTTTCTTGTAACATCAGTCTAACTCATTATGAACTGATTTAGAACTTAGTTGCTCATTTTATTTGATAGATTGTATATTTCATTTTGTTGATAAATAAAAATCATTGTTTCATATTGATAAATTAAATGAACTACGTATCTATATTACGCAATTCATTATTCTCTCACTAACACTATTCTTCTACGAATACAATTTAAAAGCTAGTTTTAATGATACAAATATTAGAACGCTATTGAAATAGTTATCTTAATTAATAAATTCTATGACATACAATTCACAACTTGATGAATCCATTGTAAAATAACAAATTTCAGTCAATGGAATGAATGTAGTCGAAAAATCTTTACATTTTTTTCATTTATAATGGATATTTTCAAGATAACATAGTTCTCGAGCTCTAAACGTCAGATGATCTAATCTGTTAATTACTTGAATTATCATCAGTTACTAAAATAGTTTGATGACAAAAGATAAGACGTCCATATGGTATATTACTTCCGATAATACTTTAAATATATTACGCTATGCAATAGTGACAGATGTATTTTGATAACTATGCATACGATCTCTTCCATCAATAATAAGAATTATCTTAATCGTTGACAAATATGTTACTCTAGAATGCAACCATTTTGTCATCAATCAATTTTGAAATGTAGACCATTGAATAAGTCATATGTTGCAATAACAATGCAAGAATATCTATAATCATCAATGAAAACAGTGTTGTTTTGCTACAGGTGGCTTATGATATATTTAATTTGTTAACATTCGAATTGGTTTTTGTTTTATCTACTATGAAATCTAATAATTTAATCAAAGTCAATCTTTCTAGTGAAGAAATCGCTATCGTACTAGTGAAAAATCAGTTTTTATGATGTACATTTTACAAAGAAACAATTTGTCAGAATAGATTTTTCCAGTGTATCTAGAAAAACCAATCCATCTTTATCATCAACAGTCATAAGAACAGAATTATCTTGTGACATATACGTATTAATATGATATAACAATGCTAGAAATATCCTAATCATACATCAGAACTAGGCAGTGTGGATTCTGATGAAAAAAATTTTTCTTAACAGTAGGCACTTGAATGAAACCAGACTTGTTATGTATCAATGTTATTAACTTCAACAGATTCATAGAAATTTATTTTTAAATATTTACTAATGTTGACAAATGCAATCATTCAATAATGAGATAAATCGACTTGAAATATTATCTAATTAAATTTCCAAAAGAATAAAACTTTTTAAAAATTGTTGATCCATAAAAGTGAATAGATTATTTTTACATGTTTATTCTGAAATGACATTCACATTGAACGATTTTCTCAAGCTGACTTTTTTGTTATAGTCGAAATTACTTCACATATATACAGTTGGTCAAAAAAGTATCCGACCACCCCGTTTTTGTCTGTTACAAAGATTTTATTCAAATTAATCCTTTAGAAAGATGGATTCTTATGAAATTTACAGACGATAGAGAACTTTGTTCGATCTATCCGATGAAGGTATTTTGGGTCAAAAAACAGCATGTTTTGACATTGAAAATTAATTTTTTTTTCGAAGAATCATGAAATTCTCACTAAAGATAATCCTCTGCAAAATTTGGTGACCGACTCGAATGGTATATAGCACACTGCATGTTTATCGAGGCTTGAGTCATTAAGAGCTTAAATACTCGTCGGCAGATACATAATAAGTAAATGTATATAAGCACCTCATATCATGCCAGTGTTTATCACTTTCTTGGGTAAGAACACTGTAATAAAAACAATTCTCTTTTCACTGGTAGATAGTCAGATGTGTCCTGTATTAACAGAATAAAAAGACCAAACTCAAATATTCTATCTAGAATTATTGACCGATTTCTTCAATGTCATCAACAGATTATCATCCATCCGA